CCGAGGAGCTCAAATCAATCTACAGTCCATGGCCTTTTGCCAAGTGGGGAATCGATCTCATAGGTCCCCTGCCAACCGGGAAAGGAGGTGTCCGATTTGCGATTGTTGCTGTCGATTACTTTACTAAATGGGCTGAAGCCGAACCCTTGGTTACAATAACTGAACAGAAAGTGGTGGATTTTGTGTGGAATACCATTATTTGTCGCTTTGGAGTACCGAACTCCATTATCACCGACAATGGCCGACAGTTCGAAGGTAGGCATCTTGAATCTCTTTGTGAATAATATAATATCAAACACTTCTTCTCTTCGCCCTACCACCCGCAATCCAATGGTCAAGTTGAAGTTGTTAACAAACTCATAAAAAACGGCCTCAAAGTCCGACTTGACGCTGCCAAAGGAGCCTGGCCAGAAGAGCTGCCACATGTCCTATGGGCCTACCGAACTACAACTCGAACTTCTACTGGCGAGACCCCGTTTTCCCTAACCTACGTCTCAGAAGCCGTGGTCCCAGTTGAGCTCGGTGAACCAACGTACCGAGTTCAACATTTTACCGAGGAGTCCAACTCGGAAAACCTGAAATCTAATCTGGACTTGCTCGACGAACATCGCACCCGAGCTGAACTCAAGAATGCCGCTTACAAACGTAGAAGCGAGAGGTATATCAATTCTAAAATTAAGCCTCGTCCATTTCGAGTTGGAGACTTAGTCCTCAAATGCATAATGGGGCCTGATCCCGGCCCACTCAAACCGAAGTGGGAAGGACCTTTTCAAGTCATTGAAGTCCTACCGAATCGCTCATCTTGATGGAACTCCGCATCAATATCCATGGAATGCAGTTTTCCTAAAAAAATTCTATCAATGAACGGTCCGAAGTCGGATAGCTGACTCTTCTTTTGCACGGACCTTCCCTTTTGCTTCGTTGAATGTACGAAGTAACCCTTTTGATGTACTGAAGGCCTATCAACTTTCGTTTTGAAAATTCGAGCAGCAGCTCAATACCGATGTAAAATACCTTGAAACTCGGTTCTATGAATATTTTGTACCGATGTAAGCATTGCGACACTCGATCTTGCTGATACCCCGTAATCCATCCAACTCCTACGCATGTTTTGGTCGGGGATTGAAGCTCGTCAAACGCCACTTCAACGAACACGATTTGGCGGGTCCCGAAAACTACCGAATACAAAAGATATAAGTCGGTTGGGGCCATTCCATAATCGAACTATGACGAAGTTCGGTGAACCCTATTTTTATTCCATGCACAGCCCAAACATGTGTTAAGTCATGCGAATTCCTAGTAAGTTCGCATAACCAACTTACACTAGTGGATGAAAATATTACGAAAGACTAAAGTGGAACTCGGAAGTTAGTTTTACAAAAAAATCCACAACTTGGTTAGTAATATGACTATATCCGAGTTGCGGTAACTCATTTTAAAATCCGTACCGAGTTCAAAACACTTGGTCGAAAAATTGCAGAAGTTAGTACAACAAACATAAATCAAGACAAATATTGTGCAAACACTTCATATATATATCTGAAAAAAGTCGGGAAAACCCTTACATATTTCCTACTAAGGGAATCAGCTACCTGATATCCCCGATTACATATTCATATATTTCCTACTAAGGATGCCAACATGTTGGCACCCCGATGTCTTATTACGAAATTAATAATGCAGTAATATATAATATGTCTAAAACTTCAAATTGCGTCGGCCATCTTCTCCACATTGTCTCCGGTACCGCTGCCTTCCCTGACTTCGGTCCCTGAAGATAGTTGCTCCAAGACCTGCACCTCCTTTGCCTTAGCAGCAGTCTCGATGGCTCCTTCTGACACCGGAACAAATTCGTCACGAGGATCCTGCATTTTATCCGACTCACCCTCAGCCGGCGTGACAACCTTGACAACTTCAACCTCCTTATCAGTCGATTTAGCCTTTCCTCGATATAGGCCTTAACTCTGCTCTGAATCTGCTCCGGGGTCATATCGTCAAAAAGTTGTTCGACCTCCACATCGGCAAGAGTTGAGAGATATACGTTGGCTAGCTCCTTCCTTTTTTCCTTCTCTCCCTCCAAAATCATGTTAACATAAGCACGTCGGAGAAGAGCAGCTCTATCCTCAGAAAGTGGTGGCAAGTCGGGGTTCGCATTCATTTCTTCGGATCGGTGGAGCATCCAAACACAAAATTCCCTCTCATCCTCATCGGCCTCCACATGCATCCCTTTTATCTCAGTGTGGAAGCCATATTTTGCAAGTTTGCGGAATAAGAACAGGCGAATATCGTCAATATCATAATAATCTGCATCGTAATGCTCTATGACCCATCGGAGATTCAAACAGGTGTTCATCTCAATTTCAAGGTCAGGTCCACCGACCTCATCATCCTCACCGGCATCAACAGCTTCAGCCTCGGCGTCACCAACGGACTTCGGTTCCACAGCCACCACAGTCTCCTTACCGGCTTGGAAGCCGATCTCGTACATGGTCTCACCATAAGCCGACTTCTCTCTTTCAAGCTTTGCCATTTCGGCCTGATGGGCATCCCTTTGCCGACCTACGAGCTCGCGGACCTCGGTACATTCTTTGCGAGTCGCTTCATGTCCGGCCTTCTCATCTGACAGCGCCTTCTCTGTCCCCTCCAACTTGGCCTCTAAAGCCTTGGAATGTTGCTCAGCAAAGGCGAGACGCGTCTTAAGATCGGCTACCTCGGCCTCAAAAGCTCTCTTCTACTTGCACAGCGCCGAGATTTCAGCCTGCGCCACTTCCAATTGAGTAACTTGTTCAGAAATCTTACCTTTCAAGTCGGCCTCCGTCTTAGCCGACTCCTCCTTCAGCGAGGCGATCATCACATCCCGGGCAGCAATAGTGTCTCTTTTCCTATCCAGCTGAGCCGCAATCCGGCTATGATCATCTTCAGCAGCAACGAGACTAACCAAAGCCCGGCCCAAACATGCCTTAGCATAGTTTAACTTGTCAACACTTGATAGGGACGAGACCCCCACTTCGGACCTCGGGTCCCATACCATCAAAGGCACCCTTGCTGCGCTTTTTGCATTCTCCGGCATATCGATCCTCGAGGACATGTGTGGAGACTTAACAGATTGGAAGGTAGTGAACCACTCCTCCACAACGCCTTCGGGCACCTTCACTTTGGCCGCCCTCTCTTCATCAATCGATAAGAACGATTTCTCAAACAAGGGCGACTCATCAACCTTCCTCTCAACAGACTTGTGACCGGAGTCATGTTTTCTCTTAGACCTCTTCTCTGCTCCAGACGAACCCCCCACATCGACTGTCTTCACCAGTCTTCTCTTCTTTCTCCTTTCCAACTGCGCAGACTCTCCGGACTTCGGAGATGAGGGTAACTTCTCCGGCACCTCTTCCTGAACGGCGGTATGCGGTAATTCAACCAACGCCACCTCGGTTCCAGCTGCATCAGGTTCCGGCTCCGCATGGTTAATCGCGACCGCATTCACGACTGGTGGCACCTCGGTAGTAGTCACCTCTTGTAAAGACCTCGGGCTTTCCGGAATAGCAGCCGAAGTCGCGCTCGACCCCACTTCGGTCGATTTTTTACCAGAATTCTTCTGACCAGCAGTTCTCTTCACCAAGGCGCGAACTAAATCCCTCCTCATGACGTTGTTTAAGCGCAAATCTCGACTTTTGCCAAACTTGGATTGCAAGTCCTTGTTGGGGTACTTACGCCTGAACTCCTTAGCCTCCTTGACTGTATTATAGCCCAAGAATCCGAGGAGCGGATAGTATACTGCATTTAAATATAAAACAATCAGAGTTATTCACAAATGTTCGACATACATAGAAGTGTTGATAAAACCAACAGCTATGGAAGATTCATTACCGGGGTCAAACTTGACAGTAGAAACTCCGGGAGACAAACCAGCAGCTTCAAGCTTCGGATCCACCACAAGCTTCCGATAATCTCATACCTTCTTATCTAAGCCGGCGAGTGTAATTAATTTCCCACCGAACTCAGGACTCAACTTTGGCTCCTTCTGCTTGGTCTCTTTTTCTACAAAGGGCAAAAGTTCCAAACTGTTAGTACACAGAACAAGACAAAATCAAAAAGATATATCCGAATTGAAAAATGAAATAAACTCACTTGCTCCGGAATGAATTAA